TGACAGCCTGAAACCCTTGTTGTTTGCGAGCTTGACTATGGGACATGAGTACGGTTCCTCCATAGTTGTCAACGGGTAACATACGCTTGAACCTGAACTTCGTTGGGCCTGTCACCCCCAATCCAAGCATACACTCGAATTTTGTCCCTGACCTTGCCACCCAGCAGGTGATATATGGGCACACCAAGCTTTCTGGCTACTTGTGCGTCAACATGCATGTCCATTCGTAAGACACCGGGCAGAGCCGGATAGTCTAATAGGGGTTTGATCGCTGCTACAGACCTTTCAAATCCCATAGAGCGATATCAATTCCTGACAGCGCACTCATGAACACAGGTCCACCACGGTAGAAACTGCCGCGCCAGGAGAGCTGCCAAATATTTTCAATATCCCTACAACCATGTTTAGAACCCGTTAAAAAAAAAAAAAAAGGCGTAGTGAAAAAGGTCGTTGAAAGAGACCCACATACTCTGCGTCTAATCCCTTGTATCTCTCAAACCATGTATCCAGACAGCCTTCTACGGCATTAGTGTGGCCCTCGAGGGAAGCTTCCCCCCATCCACATGCGCCTGTTTCGTCTGTGATTTTGACAAAAAGCCACCGCGGAGGAACGCGAAAATACTCCATTGACACAATTTTCCCCATGATGAACTATTAACTCACTTGAGACGTCGTACGGCTATGGTAGAGTCGGGGACTTTGAAGATGAGAAAAGTATATAAACAGGGATCAGGCAGATAGTAGTGGTTAGCTCTTTGGTTCTATTCCGCAGCTTGATCCTTGGTTATCCGGATAACTCCAGTCCCGATAAGCTGGTCCCGATCTATTGATTTTCCGTCTATATCCGTCCACATCCGTCCACTAACATGAGGGTAAAACATGTGCAATGCAGTTTCCCCTATTTTATAGCGTTGGTGGGTACTGTTTGGTATTAGTCGAAGTGTGGGTAAAGCAACTGGATTTCTTTCCTAAGTGACCCTGTAGTGATGCGGCTTAAGCCCTATGATTCCCCTGTTAATGATCAAGGTTGTTTTATTGAACAAACTCAAATTTTTATAGAATCAAGACAGGTAATGTTCCTGGCCGGTAGGATAGCCTTTTAAAAGACATTTAACACCCCCGTTTGAACAAAATATGCGCTAATCGGAGATAATGTAATCCAGCCTTGCGAGGCTAAAGTGATAACTCGATAGTGACCTGACCTGTGTGGGATTCTTGAAACAAAAAAGCGTCCTTTCTCCAAAGACCTTACCAAGGAAACTTTGTCCACACTGCTTCTTAAAGGTGGGTGACGAGTTTCATTCGAGTTAATCTATTTGATTTTCATTTACCTTGGCTGCGGACCCCCATTCCAGAAGCAGTTATGCTACCCAGTCATAACTCATCATCGCGGTCCATTACGCGGTCATTGCTTCTTACTCTTTCTTTCCTCGAGGCTTCAGAAAATTTGAGGTATTCGTAAGTTTAGGGCTTCTGTTCAGCATCGCGTTACCGTATTTAAAGTTAGCCAGGATTCTCTCCGAGGCCTTGTAGCTCTCTATATTTGCCGTCACATGAACAGGCTCCAACACGATAGGCCTGACCGAGATGGGACCGTCTAGGAACAATGTGAGGCACCTCTTTACGATTGTCAATTAAGCAAATGCTATGCTTGTATTTCCTGTGGCATATCTCTTCTCAAAGCGCATAATTAGGGCTGAAGCGGTCCTGTGATGTTTTAAACATCACAAGGTCTGACTTAGATTCTTGGGGTACCCCAGCGCGGTGGACACGCAATATAAGCAAGGATGATAGTGATAAGAAGGGATTGTGCCTAGTCTGACGTCAACCTATCAGTGCATTTTCACTCCTTACCAAATCCTGTGCCAGTCAATCTAGTCCAACTGGAAATGTTATTGTTTCCGATGGATGTAAACGCCAGGTTGCCATTGGTACATATGTTCCGTCTTGCTCTGAATCCGACGGACAAACCAGTTCAACCTTCGGCTCGCGTTGGAAGATCTTGCTGTAGTAACGGAGTCGAACTAGCGAACTCAATGTACTCATTGCCCGCAATCGAGTGTCCTAAACTCCACGAGGGTGGTCATTGGATCGTCATCTCATACAAATGCACCTCATTTTCGTGGATTTAAAAGCCTTTTACCCCTCGATTGGGGGCTGCGAAACATTACTATAGTTATTCTAGCAGCTGCTATCAACGACTTTCTACCACCTCATTAAGTTGATAACCTTAACTTACCTCCAAGGGACAGAGAATTACCATGACTACCGAAAATGCCCTTGAGGCGTCGGGCTTGTCTACGACAGAGGCCCCCATCACCTGGAAGGCCTATCTTGTTTGCGTCTCGGCTGCGTTTGGTGGCGTCTTCTTTGGCTATGACATCGGTTGGATGTCTGGTGTTCTAGGAATGCCATATGTTATCCAGCAATATACTGGCATGGAGTATGACTTCAACGCCGGTGCCCCCGTTGATTCATCCCACTCGTTCACCATACCATCCTCGGACAAATCCCTCATGGCTTCGATTCTGTCCCTTGGAACGTTTCTTGGTGCGATTGTTGCTGGTGACCTAGCTGACCTGTGGGGCCGCCGCATTACCATCCTCATCGGCTGCGCAATTTTTAGTTGTGGCGTCATCCTTCAAATCTCCAGCAGCGGCCAACTGGCCGTCATGACCATCGGACGTTTGGTCGCTGGCCTGGGCGTCGGCTTCGAATCTTCAGTCATCATCCTCTATATGTCTGAAGTTGCGCCGAGGAAGATCCGGGGTGCTGTTGTTTCAGCTTATCAGTTTTCCATGTAAGCCAGCCTGTGTAGGCTCTACAGTTTCCAATGTGTACTGAGGCATTATCCTAGCACGATTGGGCTTTTGATTGCAAACAGTGTCGTTTACGCAACCCAAGGGAGAAATGATACAGGGTCCTACCGTATTCCCATCGGGGTCCAGTTCCTTTGGAGCATTGTACTTGCTAGTGCTCTGTTCCTCTTGCGTACGACCCCCATTTCCTTTTGGGCCTTATGCACAAACACTGACTGTCACCTGCAGCCGAGTCACCCCGCTACCTCGTGAAGAAAGGAGATATTCAAAAGGCAACGGAGGCTCTTTGTTTCATCCGAGAACAGCCCGAAGACTCCGAGTACGTTCGTGATGAACTTGCAGAAATTGTGGCGAACCATGAGTACGAGTCCCTAGTGAGTCCCGACAAGGGGTATGTAGGCTCGTGGCTGGTTTGCTTCAAGGGCCCGATCAGTAAGCCCAACTCCAATATCAGAAGAACGATCGTTGGTGCTGGCATCCAGGGAATGCAGCAGCTATCTGGCATGAATTTCATATTTTATTACGGGACAACGTTCTTTCAGCAGCTTGGAACAATCTCCAATCCGTTTCTCATTTCTCTAATAACAACACTTGTCAATGTTTTGACCACACCACTCGCTTTCTGGACTATCGAGCGATTCGGCCGTAGGCCGTTGCTCGTCTATGGTGGGCTCGGCATGTTTCTCATGCAGTACATCATCGGAGCTGTTGGGACTGCATTGCCCGACAATGAAACAGCAGTAAAAGGGATGATCGCTGTCATCTGCTTCCAAATATTCTTCTACGCTACAACCTGGGGACCTGCCGCGTGGGTTGTTGTGGGAGAGACCTTCTCTCTGCCAATCCGCGCACGTGGAGTCGCTATATCAACGGCATCGTGTTGGTTCTGGAACTGTGTGCTTGCGGTCATTGCCCCTTATATGACTGGCGATGAAGAGGGTGCAGTTAACCTCGGGCCCAAGGTATTCTTCTTCTGGGGCTCGCTCTGTTTCCTGGGTGCTTTGTTTGCCTATTTCCTTGTTCCAGAGATGAAGGGTCTCTCCCTCGAACAAGTTGACCTTATGCTTGCAGAGACCAGCCCACGGAAGAGCGCCCAATGGATGCCGAGGACAACATTCGCTCAGGAAATGGGCCGTGTGGAAAAGGTTGAGGTCACTCATGTTGAGCATACCGATCATCATACGGTTTAGGCTACTCTCCAAGATAGGTACCTATGAAACCCGTCTGTTTTACTACGGAGGACTGAATGATGAGGGGGGTCGAACAGTAGTATATCTCTTCATTTGCAACTGTGTATTTCCATAGTCGATTGGTTCGTCAATGCATTCTTATTCGCCGTAATGCATAATTCAAAAAGTAAAAGTTATGATTTGCGCTAATTCTCCACTGTCGTCATGGCAGGGTAACTGCTTCGAATACACTGGCCTAAGCCATCTGGTTTCTGAAGTATTGTATTGCTTTACTTGTATCATGTTCACCTCGGCTGTTATCTAACGGAGTCACTTCGGTGTATTTTGTCTTCTCTATTTTCGCCGAAAGCCCAGTCGAGAATACTTGAGGATAGAAAAAGTGAACTAAGGGACAGCGTCTCAAGGCCTTCAAAAGACGCATAATGGAGGTGAGGATAGAGCAACTACTCGAGGAGAACAGATTTACAATCTGCCCTTCCGCTTAGTTTTCCGCGCCAAGCACTTCTTCCGGTTGGTGGAGCTTTTCCGTGTATCGTAGGGTGTGCGTTAGGGGGGAAGATCTTGCGATATATTTCACCCTGCAATATCACTTCCCACAGCCGAACTGCCTTGGCAATCCACATAGTTCGCGAACCCCACATTCTGCCGTTCCACCTAAATTAAACTATATGACTCGGCTAGGACTGGTGGTGAAAACACGCTTAAAACTCGTTCGATTTTTAGTTATCAGAGTTAAGGATTGTCTTTTCCCGGATCTTCACAAGCAGGATTTCTACTAGGTCAGCCCAATTCAGTCAATCTCCATAGCATATCTCAATACCACGCGATCAAAATACTATGTGGCACTAAGTTTGTGCCGTAGACATCCTATCCATAGCAATAAATATAAATATATCAATCGCCCCTCAAACCTACTGCCAGTCTATTTGCAACATCTCTTAACCTTTTCCCTTCACGGATCCATAGTCTGCCGAAGCACATAATGCAGAAAATGCTCAAGGCGATAGCTGCAGCGGTGATATTCTCATCGTTGTCGACTGTGTCTGCCGCATCCACATGCAAACTCGCATCCAGGGCAGATCCCCTGCAGTATGTCGGAGTTGACTGGTCTTCAGTCATAGTGGAGGAACGTGGCGGCGTCGTCTATAAGAACGCACAAGGCATTGAGATGCCTCTGGAGGATATTCTGGTGGAAGCCGGCGTGAATATGGTGCGCCAACGTGTGTGGACGGTTGACGGCGACTACGGAGTGCAGTACAACCTCGACCTGGCGCGACGGGCGAACAAGGCAGGCTTGATGTTTGGCCTCAGCCTTCACTTCAGCGACACATGGACCAATCCAAACCAACAAACCATCCCGACTGGTTGGCCACAAGAGATTGAACCGCTCATCAATACATTATACAACTACACAAGCAACGTATGCGAAACCTTTGCGGCAGAGGGCCTCTATCCAGAAACAATCACCATCGGCAATGAGATCCCATCGGGATTGCTGTGGCCGACCGGTTACTACACGAATCCGGAAAACCTCGCCCGACTTCTGCAGACCGCTGCGAGTGCTGTGAAGAGTTCTTCTCTAGGAGGACACACCAAGGTCGTGACTCATCTTGCCCATGGATATGATTCGGATCTCCAGCATTGGTTTTACGACCTGGTCTTGGACACCGGGTATCTGACCGTCGACGACTGGGATGTCATCGCCGTTTCGTTCTACCCCTTCTGGGGTGAGGGTGCCACGATGGACGCGCTGACACAGTCTCTGACCAGTCTGGCATCTCAGTACCAGAAGGAAGTCCAGGTTGTCGAGACTAACTGGCCGACGCAGTGCACTAACCCAGAATATCCATTTCCGCAGGATCAGCTCGATATTCCTCTTAGCCCGGCGGGTCAGATTACGTATCTCCAACGACTCGCCGATACCCTCAAGGCTATCCCGGCCGCTACGGGGCTCAACTACTGGGAGCCTGCGTGGATAGATAATGCTGTACTGGGGTCTTCCTGTGAGAGCAACGTCATGTTTGATCCAAACGGCCAGGCGTATGATAGCGTGTCTATCTTTGGCTCGCTTTACTAGTTATGTGTCTATCTGGACTGGTGTTTGGCAGAGCAGGGCTTGGGGGATAATTTGTTACTGATGTGCAAGTTGAAATTGCGAATATATTGTCATTTTGTATCAATGATGTTGTTTAGTATACGTAGCATTCCTAATTTTAACGTGAATTGGTTAAGTCTAGTGAGGTATATACACTTGCCCAAGTACTGAAAATGAAGAGATTAAGCTCCGGGAGTGACGCACAAGGATAAAAGGATTGAACAGCAAAATAGCAGTGCTGACGACCTTTGACTCCTTCCATAGATCAAGTGAACTATGAAGTGGTTCCGCTACCCAAGCCCGAACGATGTCGCTTCTGTTAGACGGACTGTATGCACAAAAGAAACGGTACAAACAGGATAATTAGAGCGTTACTGGTTTGATTATAATCCTCCGACGGATAACTCGAAAAAAGACAGCCGTCGGAAAGGATCAATCCTTCTCGCGTAGAGCGCCCAGACGGATATTTATGCCATGACGCCGCCTGACATGTGTCCTAAAGCCCATTTACTGAAAGCCAAGATAGATTAATTCAGTCAGGATTGGCCTCCCGAAATCGGAAATCCGGGGAAACAGGGACGCAGGGAAATGATAGGACTGGAAGTTCTGTGGATGATCACGTCTACTGAAGTGGACTATAAATGATTATAAACGAAGGCACCTTCGTTAATGTCAAGCGATCTGGTATAGTGAATTGCCCCAGTGTCAATCGCAGATTCCATTCAGGTTTTGCTGAATTAACAGGGTTAACTCTTCAATCATGAGGCTGTGGCACATCGTCAGTAGTGCCGTGGCAATTGCGTGCCTAGCAACTCATTCCACGGCTCAAGAGTGGCCTTTACATGACAATGGCTTGAACCAGGTCGTCCAATGGTATGCTATAGAGCCCTATTATTTGCAGGTAGACAGCTGACACTCACGCACCACGCAGGGACCATTACAGCGTGATTGTCAACGGAGAGAGACTGTTCCTTTGGTCGGGCGAAGTGAATAGACCCCCAGCTCTAACCTAGTGATATGTAAAATGGCCTAACATTCTAATTAGTTGCACCTGTGGCGTATCCCTGTGCCCGAATTATGGCGTGATATCCTCGAGAAAGTCAAGGCAGCTGGGTATGTACAACTTCCAATGCAGCGCCGTCGCATGAGATTAGTTCTGACTTCAAACAGCTTTAATGGGATTGGGCTTTACGAACATTGGGGCTGGCATGCCCCGAACAATGAGACCTTGGATTTTGAAACAGGAGCACATAACTTTGCCCAAGCCTTTGAAATTGCCAAGGAGATTGGTCTTTACATTATATACCGACCCGGTCCGTACAGCAACGCCGAAGCAAATGGAGGAGGTTTCCCAGGCTGGCTAACTACTGGGGAGTATGGCCCCCTGCGCGACGATAGTGAGAAGTACGCCAGTGCTTGGACACGATATTCAGGAGCTGTTGCAGAGTACGTACGTCCATATCTCATCACCAACGAAGGACCCATTATCATGTGGCAGATCGAAAATGAATATGGCGTCCAGTGGCTCGATCCTGACCTAAAGACGCCCAATCAAACTGCCATCAACTACATGGAGCTACTTCAAGAGAAACACAGAGAATGGGACATCAATGTCCCCTTCACTGCCAACAACCCCAGTATGTGGACGCGATCCTGGTCAAAGGATTACGGCAGCGCGGGTGGTGAGGTCGACTTGTATGGCCTCGACCATTATCCAGCGTGCTGGACATGCAATTTGGCGCAATGCCTTTCAGTCAATGGGCAGGTTGAGCCATACACTGTATTTGACTATTACACACACTTTAATGAGGTGTCGCGGACTCAGCCTTCGTTTCTCATGGAGTTTCAGGGAGGCTCGTTCAACCCTTGGGATGGTCCCGAGGGCGGGTGTAAAGATAATATGGGCCCTGGTTGGGTGAACCTTTTCTTCCGTCACAACCTGGCACAGAAGGTGACAGCTGTCAATATTTACATGCTCTATGGTGGAACGAATTGGGGTAATATCGGCTTCCCTGAGGTTGGCACCAGCTATGACTACTCGGCGCCCATTCACGAGACACGTTTGATTGGCGACAAGTACAACGAAGCTAAGCTCTTTGGTCTTTTCATGCGTGTCGCCCGCGATTTCTCTAAGGTGGAACGAGTGGGGAACAGCACCAAGTATGCTACGGACCAGGATATCTTCACAACTGAACTCCGCAATCCAGACACTGGTGCTGCCTTTTATGTCACCCGCCATGAATAATCTCCTTCTACAGAGGTCACCAAGTTTCGGCTGCATGTTACCACCGATATTGGCAACCTCACAGTCCCAACTAAAGGATCCATTACTATCAATGGAACGGAGTCTAAAGTCCTGGTCACAGACTTCCCCATCGGTTCCTCCGGGAAGAAGATCACTTATACGACCTTAGAGATCCTCACAGTAGCTGACCTGGGAGACCGCCAAGTGGTTATATTCTGGGCCCCGGATGGCGAGGAAGGCGAGTTTTTGCTTAAAGACGCAAAGTCGGGCAAAGTTATGAGCGGAAATGCCGATAACAAGACGCTAAGCATGACTCGACATGGCGTTGTGACGAATGTTGCCGCGGGTAATGAAAAGACGGTTATAGAATATGACCATGACGTTCAAGCGATCGTGGTAGATCGACAGTCTGCTTACAACTTCTGGGCTCCTACTTTAAACAATAACCCACTTGCATGGGAGAACTCTACCGGTAACCACACTCTCGTCCCATGAGAATGTCCGGTACATATGTACTAACAACGCGTATTAGTTCTTGTTCATGGACCCTATCTCGTGCGTACGGCTGAGATCGAAGGCGATACCATCTATATCGCAGGAGATTGGGACGAAGAAACTGACGTCGAGATCTGGGCTCCGAAGAACGTGAAGAATGTTTCATTTAATGGCTCGAAGCTGAAGATCACGAAGTCTAAGTATGGAACCCTAGTTGGGACGTTGCCCGCTCCCGAAGTTACGGCGGATAGCCTTATCACAGAGCTGCCGCTCCTTACCAACTGGAAGGTAGCAGACAATCTTCCCGAGAGATTGGTGGATTATGACGACTCCAAATGGACCAGTGAGTAATCAACTAGCCACTTATATTCAAGTTGCTTTGACTAACCTCTCTTACAGATGCAAACCACATGACAACTCCCCATTTTGTTCCTCCCGATACCTACCCCGTTCTGTTTGCTGACGAGTATGGCTATCAAGCGGGTAATATTCTCTGGCGAGGCAGGTTTAACGCCTCAGAAGGGAGCATGCCCTCTGGTGCTTATCTTCGTGTTATTGGCGGTCTTGCCAGCGGCTTTTCAGCATATGTCAATGGTGAATTCTTCGGGGCTTGGCTCGGTTCAATGGCCAACAAAACGGGGGAGCTAGAGGTATCTTTTAAGGACGTCAAGCTCAATACAGGGGGTGATAATGTCCTATTTGTTATTCAGGATACGATGGGCAAGGAGCAGCGTGAGGCCGCGCCAGACCCACGAGGCATTCTCAATGCCACACTGATTGCTGCAGATGGCTCGGCTGCCAATTTCACCTCGTGGAAAGTGGCCGGAAACGCTGGTGGAAACCATCTGCTTGAGCCAGTACGTGGCACGTACAACGAAGGCGGCCTTCATGCAGAGCGCCTTGGCTGGCATCTCCCTGGCTTTGATGACAATGATTGGGAGTCTGGTGCCCCTGTGGACGGATTCACCGGTGCTGATGCGCGCTTCTACCGTACTGCTGTCCCGTTGAATATTCCGAAAGGTTACGACGTCAGCTTGGCTTTCCAGCTAAGCACCGAGAGGAAGGCAAAGCTACGGGCTCAACTATACGTCAACGGGTATCAATTTGCAAAAACCTTGCCCTTTATTTCGAACGAGACAACTTTCCCTGGTAAGTCCTTTCGAGGAAGTTTCAATAGGGAATAAGAAAATTTGCGGTGTGAGTTAGAAACTGATGATCTCTCTAGTATTTCCTGGAATCCTTAACTATAATGGTAACAATACCATCGGACTCAGCGTGTGGACGATGGATGACGCTGGAGGATGGGTTGATGTAGCATGGAAAGTGATGGGTGTACATCGGTCGGCCTTTGATCCTCTCTTTGATGGCGAATACCTTCGACCTGGATGGAAGGATCGCTCACAATATGCCTGAAAGAGTCAGGCCGGACAATTCAATAGCAGTATCATCCTGGATAATCAAATCCACCCGGACTACATTAGGAATGGGGCAGACGTACTTGACAGATGTCCAAGGTCATTGTTAGATCATAATTAAGAAATCCACTGGGTGTAGAGGATGGAAATAATGCCACGGAAACGGAGATGAAACCCCCATAGATTACAAGGTATCACGAACTATGATACACTGGTTGTCTCTAAGGAAGTTATGTGTATTTAGGCTATCTCAGATTGGAGAATAATAGTACCAAGACCAAAGATATCTGGCATAGAGCTCCATATGGGAATGTTGAATATAAGGTGCTCAAGGCACGACCTTGATGCCATATGGTCGTTTGGTCGAGTGGGGGGTGAGGCTATATATCCAATTAGTGTTCCGTGGAACAGTAGATCTAACCTGCTATCTTAGTATATATGCTTCCTATATTTTTATATCTACACTACTTTATACAAAGACCCAATGTTTAATAAAACGTATAGAGATATAGAGCTGACAACATGGATCAAGAGGTAATAATCTATGTATAGACATTATGTACTGGAAGATCCACTTTATAGGGCAGACAGCCTGTCGACTAGGTCAAGAAAGTAAGCGAGGAAGGAAGGAAATGTCTACGGAGTACTATTAGCTGAATTATCCTATCTGCTGAAGCGATCGCCTTGTCTGGTTTAGTTGAGATTCGCGGAGCTTTGTTGGAAGTGGTGACCTTCCTGGATCTTAATTGTCAATGAGTCACGCAAGCCATACTGTACAGACTAGGAGGAATTTGCCCGACTAGATCCATAAAGTGGAGACTTGAACCAGATTGCTTATACAGATCTAAAGTGGGGCTATTAGATAGCACAGTCTACACAGTATTAACTACGTATGTATCTTTCCCGGAAGAAATTTCCACTGGAAAACCTCGCGTATGCAAGTAGGGATAAGGCGGGATGAGTTACAGCTGCCACAATATCGACAATTAGTCTCACGATCTAATAAGATAAGCCCAGCAATCTATGTCCATCTCAACAGGCAGAGATCAATTTCCGGCATCAGAAAGGGACTTGACTTCTGGCTCGCTGCGGGTATTGTATAATTGGCGGAATTTCATGGGGAGTGGCTTCGATATCACTTTATATGTATTTATTCCTCCTTCTTTAGAAATCTTATCATGATAGTGCTACATAGCAGTACTGCCAGGGTTAATATATGCTAGCTACCATTAGTTCTAGGAAATAAGATCTGTGAACCATGGTAGATATATGTTCTATCTAGATTTATCTACTCAGTAGGTGTAAATGGTGGGGGAAAAGGTTTAACCCCAGAACAAAATGGAAGACGTAATAAAAGATGAGGTGAACAGGATTAGTGATATGAAATTCGTGATTTCATTGGATTAGTGATATTAGTCAGCGATTCATCAGCACCCCGTCGATGACGATGTTTTCAGGGTCGTTACATTTAATTTCTCTAGGATATATTAATCAGTGCATTCGCGTTTATTATAGTCGACTATTATTATAGCTCATATTACCATCGCTGTTACGACTTATTGCCCTAACAAAATTATACAAGATGCCTGTTCCCGACACTTTCCTAGCGGCTACAGTCAACCAGCCCCACGCCCAACATGTCGTTTCCAACCGCTCATTGCAACCACTTGAATCGGGCGAAGTTGCTATTAAAATCACTGCCACGGCCATCAACCCGGTTGACTGGAAGATCCGCGACTACAATGTCTTTATCAAAGAGTACCCTGCCGTGCTAGGATCGGATGCCGCCGGAGAGATCGCCGCTGTTGGACCCGATGTCTCTAATTTCGCTGTTGGCGATCGGGTATTCTTCCAGGGAATCATTGGAAGATATGACTCGTCTACCTTTCAACAATACTGTAAGATGCCGGCCGCACTGGTCTCCAAGACGCCCAGCAACATTAGCGACGACCAAGCTGCCGGAATAAGTCTCGCGACCATGGCTGTTGTCACAGCATTCTACGACAAGTCCGGCCAAGGGTTGACCCCACCATGGGACCAGACTGGCCCGCAGGTTGGAAATGGCAAAGCCATAGTGATCATCGGAGGCGCCTCATCTGTGGGTCAATATGCCATTCAATTAGCTAAACTGTCGGGCTTTGAAAAGATTATTACCAATGCAAGTCCTCAAAACCACGAGTGCCTCAAAAAGCTAGGCGCACATATTGTCCTGGACCGAGCCCATTCGACCCCGGAGGATTTCAAGGCTGCAATCGGCGGGCTACCTTTGGAATTTGTGTTCGATACTATCTCGGTGAAAGCAACGCAAGCATTGGGTGTTGAGATTGTCCGGGCTACAGAAGGCGCCGATAAGATCGTGACGGTCCAGGGTGCCGACTCGGATGCTATTGCCCTCGGCCAGTCGAAAGAGCCAAAGGTAGCGGTGAAGCAGGTCTTGGGATTAGGTAGCTCCCCAGCATTGCGTCATCTCAGTGAGCCTCTGGTGAAGCATCTCGGCGGCGAGGACGGTTATATCGCTAAGAACCTTTTCGTCCCCAACCGGGTGCATCTGGTTCAAGGAGGACTGAATGCCGTGGAACAGGCGCTTGCGAAGAATAAGGAAGGTGTATCTGGCGAGAAGGTTGTATTCCGCCCCAATGAATGAGTGAATTGAGCATACAACTATATATACTTGCAATATCTGTAATATACAGCAGCTAGGTTCATTAGTTCTCTTTCCGCCTGTTGTTTCCCTTTAGCATGTTCTTATGCTCAAACCTTGCTCCTTTGCTCTCGGCTGTAAGAGGCCCTAACAAAGCTCGACTGATTGGCTGAAGCTTCTGTTTACATGTTATCGTACATTTTCTACCAGATGGACGCAGAGAAGCTCATGCACTCATTATACTTTCTGCAGAATTTAAAATCGAACCTGATAGGCGGCTCCAGATCTTACTAGGTGGAGAAGCGGTATCTCGGACAATAAACTAGACCAAGCAGTATTGATCGATAGGTATCTCAGCGCATTGCTTCAGGCCAAGGAAGTCCGCCACGCTGCTCACTCCATCGAGACAATCCTAGCTACGACCGATCTTCAGTCGTTTATCCAGCATGGTTCAGCAACAGCAGAAGATATCAAACATAATTTCCTAGCGAAGCGATAGCCGCTTGCGCTTCATTTCAACGTGGAAGAAATTCTATTTTGATCTTAAATCCGATCCAAGGATATGATACCGAATGATTATGGGCTGATTCAAGGTTGCGTCAAATGCGTTCTCCTCTATATTCAGAATATGATATGATGCGCTTCAGAGCCGCTGAGGACATTCACGTAGCAGCAGATTCTGGATTGAAAATTGAAGAATGGCCAATTTCCTAATCTCTATGTTATACCTCAAACAGACTATCTTATTATTTGCGGTCCGAAGATCGAAAGAGTGAAGTGCCCCGGACCGACTATACAAAAGAAAAGAAGTCAGTTACTGAGAGTAAGAAGAGAGATAACTGAGAATGACATAGATTAACTAGTTAACGCGTTTATTTTAGTAACGAAAGAGTGTTGGCTGACACTGTGTTCTAATTGGTAGTTGGGACAATTAATATAACGCCATTTGCAGAGAAATCGGCCTCATCTTCCTTGTTCCGCCGAGCCCTTTATGAATGTCTTTGTTCCCCCCTTGCATTCCTTATTCAGTGCATATGACAATGACTCAGAGGCATCCATTGTACTTGATTAATTAGACAATGGCACCCTCTACTTATATCCATATATCTATATTCCCTTTCAACCTGCGAATATAAATGCTCCAGTCTTAACCGATATCCATTGACTCACAGACCCGTTTGAGCAAAATGACAGCAGACGAAGAATCGCCGTTTTTGCACTTGCCCCCGACCCCAGGAAGCCCTGTGTCCGGCCTTGCACGAAGACGAAGGTCTGAACGCGCCAACGAATTAGTCATCTACGGTTCTTTTGTTGGTGAGGGTTTTTGAAAATGAGAAGGTGACATGGATATGCTGACAATTCCCAGGTGTGTTCCTTGCGTCCGCGGATGAGTCACTTGTCATCTCAACATGGAGCTCCATCGCGTCGCAATTCAATCGTCTATCAGAAGGGTCATGGCTGCTGGTCGCATATAATTTCGGTTATTGTGTCTCACTGCCGGTGGTAAGTCGCCCAGAAACTGTGTATTCTGGGATATACTTACGCAACTTTGTCAGTATGGTACCCTCAGTGACATGTATGGACGGAAGAATGTCCTCCTCTGGGCTTATTCTTTGTTTGCTTTGGGATGTCTGGCATGGTGTGGTAACCACGTCCAATCAATTTCCCTACGTGCCCGCTAAGAAGATACAATCCAGTGGCGCGAGTGGTTCCTTGATCCAGCTGATTCTGGCCAGAGTATTAGCTGGCATTAGTGGGGGTGGCATGGTTGCTCTGGTTTCCATTATCATAACCGGTACTTTCGTACTTAATACGCATAATTCTAGCTAACAATTGATAGATTTGATGCCCTCCAATGAGGTGGCACTATTTCGAGGATATGCAAATGTGGTCAATGTTGCTGGTCGCAGCTTGGGAGCCCCGGTTGGGGGCTTTCTGATCGCGACGCTCGGATGGAGATGGTTTGTTCTTGTTGGGATTTGGATTGTGACGTTACACAACTAACTACGTCTAGGGCTTTTCTAGGTCAACTCCCCCTTATCCTTATTTGTATTGTGGCCGCATATTACGGTCTTCCCTCGTCGTTGAACCAAAGTAAGACAGATAGCGTGGAGGGTAATTCTCAATCTAGAGCATCAGACCTCGATTATGGTGGCATTGTCAGCTTTGCTACCGCAATTGTTATTTTGTTATTTTTGATCCAAAGCTCCAGCACGACATATGAGCAGTCAAGGCTGCCTTACGTGTTAACGCCTGCGTTCGCAATTGCTGTTGCAGTTTTCATCCTGACTGAAGCATACTGGGCCAGAAAGCCTTTGATACCCTTAAGCCTAGTGAAAGGTTCCTTGGGAGGGTACTGCATAGGGCAATTAATGCTAATCACAGGTCGCTCGGCGGTAAGTTCGATGTTGGAACAACCTCGTTTCCCTACTGACAAATCACTCGTATATAGCTCAGCAGTAATATGGTACCGTACTTTGTCCGAGTTGAAAAGGCGACTGGTTTCCTCGCATCATTTACCTACGTCGTCACTGCAGTGGGTGTCTCCGTCGGTGGCTTGATCTCAGGTGCCATCATCAAACGGTGAGTCCATAGGCTAACAAATCTGGTGCTCCCTGCTGATGAATAGGATAGAACCAAAAAATATAAGACCATGGCTATAACAGCAGTGGTAGCTACTGTCTTGCTGTCTATTTTAATTTTCATGCGCTACCGCAATGGCTGCTATACCTGGGAACTATTTTATCTCTTCCCGTCCGGCATGTCAAACGGCATACTCTTCTCCACGCAATTCATTGGGATGTCTTTATCTGCACCTAAAGAGCGGCTTGCAACTTCTATCGGAATATATTACCTCTCCCAGCAGTTAGGATTTATTATCGGCCCGGCAGCTTCGGTCGCTGTCGTTCAACGGCTGTTTGCCAATAGGCTTTCAAAAGGTCTGGAAGGGTTGAACGAGAAACAGGTGCGTAAAAATTATAGCTAAACTGAGAGGTGAAGCTAATCTTTATCTAGTTTATCGATCAAATTATCAATGATCTGAGATTCTCCGAGGGCTTGCCGGAAAGAGCCCAGAGTATCGTTCGATCGAGCTATCTGTATGCGTTTCAGTTTGTACCGTGTAAGTTCAATCTAACCCTAGATATAGCGGGAGATAGCAGGGAGCTGACAGGCATAGTACTTGGCACGGTGTCCACTTTGATCATGTTGCCACTCGTGCTATTGCAGAAGGAAAGCAGAATCGAATGACATTTGTAACCAAGCGAACCATAGTTGACTGGGCAAGAATGATGCATGATCGAACCGTGAGAAGTTGCACGTAGGTCATGTGGTGTGTAGAAGGGAATATCCGAAAGTATCAGATTCAATCATGGCTGAGTTGTGGACTTAAGACTTAGTCTACATGTGGATTCAAAAGGAGATCGACGAGTTATTTAACTAATAACTCTGCTTTCCTACGACACAGCAACAAGGATATTCTAAATAAATCACCCGTATCCATGAGGACAAGCCAGCCCTATCTTGACAAAGTGGGGGCATCGAGAACCGAGATGATTTTGCGACGCGTCATCTGCAGGTCCGGGATGCCGTGATAAACCAAATAGTCATACCGAAGAGCTCCACTCTGCCGCCGTTTGAACCACCCAACTGCTTCGGCTTTTCCGACTGGCGTTGATGTCGTAGGCCTGTTACGACGAATGCAGCCGTGCGGAAAACTAGTACTGAGATCAAGCATTGCTTCTTCGAGACTAAAATTGGAGCGTCATTTCCTATTACTACAAAAGATCGGCGCCTAAAAAGCGTCACTCAACTACACGGTATAAAGGATAGACTACTCCCCCTAAATAGACCATAGTTCAGGAGCTCTCATGTAATTATCAGTTGTCTAACTTCAGTCTTTCTTTTACACATCCTTTGCCTGACTCGAGTCATTCATTTGCATTGTTTTCCCATCTTCTTTTGGTAATATGAGGTTCGTCTCACTTGCCGTGGCGGCAGCCTTATTAGGCTCTGCAGGTGCCTCTTCGCATTCTTCCAATCTGGGCTTGCTCAAAGCCAATGGTGGTGAGCGGACCTGACATACGGCAATACTCTGAATAGATCAGTTAATATTCGAAACAGTCGCACTTGGAAACTGGGAAGTTGCCTACGAGAAAGCATCCGCATTTGTTGCAGGCCTGACCACTGATCAGAAGCTGGCTTTAATTACAGGTAGCAGTGTTGAGTCGACTAATGGAAACTTCACTGCCCTCTACTTTCTCGATGGAGACATGGGTCTTCAAGACTTCTATTATGTTTCCGCTTTCAGCTTGTCTTCCGCTCTTGTGATGACCTGGGATCGCGATGCTATTTATGCGCAAGCTAAAGCTGTCGGGTCAGAGTTCTACAACAAAGGCGTTCAGGTGGTGGCTGGACCCACGTCCCAGCCATTAGGGCGCACCCCTTGGGGCGGCCGTGGCGTCGAAGGGTTTGGCCCTGATCCTTATCTCAATGGCTTGGCTACTGGTCTCACCACCAAGGGCTATGTTGACGCTGGAGTTATTCCGGGTGGTAAGGTGAGACATACTTTCCTAGTTTCCGCACACTATTATAATTTACTTATAAGGAGACTGCTTTGTCCATAGCATTTCCTCTTATACGAGCAGGAAACCAATAGGACCTCCGGTCCTGGTAGCAGTGGAGGGGGATCTCCATACTCCTCTAATGCGGATGACAAAACCATCCATGAGACATATCTGTGGCCATTCTACGATGCAGTAAAAAATGGCCTTGGGGCGGTGATGTGCGCAATGACCAAGGTCAATGGCACACTAGCATGCGAGAATTCGGATCTTCTGATGAAGACGTTAAAGACGGAACTTGGATTCCCGGGTATGGTCTGGCCTGACATGAATGGTCAAAACAATGCCAAAGAATCAGCCTTGGGCGGCGAGGACTATGGATCGAGCTCTATCTGGAGTACTTCGACTATGGAAAGCTATTTATCGAACGGCACCATCACTGAGGCTCGCTTAAACGACATGGCCATCAGAAACCTAATAGCTTACTATCAAGTTAACCTGGACAACGGCCTCCAGCCTACAAGGCAAACGACAGATGCCTATGTGGACGTCAGAGCTAACCATTCTAAGTTGATTCGCGAGAACGGAGCGAAGTCCATGGCTTTGTTGAAGAATGAGGGTGTGCTACCGCTGAAGAAGCCCCGTGTTATGAGTATCTTTGGAGCTCACGCCGGGCCTGTCATCGGCGGTCCCAATAGTAATATCAATGTTATGGGCTCCGGTCCGACCTATCAGGGTCACCTGGCCACTGGCTCCGGATCCGGGATGGCATCTCTTCCCTATTTGATCACGCCTTATGGTGCACTGACTAACAAAGCGTCCCAAGACGGAACCATACTGCGCTGGATCTTGAACGACACTTATAGCTCTGGTGGAGGATCTTCACTGGTGCCATCGAGCACGTCTTCTACTGCAGTAGAGCCGTCCTTTGACAACTTTGCCGCGGAGTCGGATATCTGCCTTGTCTTCCTAAATGCCCTCGCTGGAGAAGGTGCTGATCGTACTGAACTATATAATGCGGACCAAGACGCTATGGTGAGCACAGTCGCAGATAACTGCAACAACACAGTGGTAGTGGTAAATACTGTTGGACCGCGATTGCTGGATCAGTGGATTGAGCACGACAACGTCACCGCTGTTCTTTATGGGTCTCTCCTCGGACAGGAGTCGGGTAACTCTATCGTGGACCTCCTCTATGGCGACGTCAACCCATCTGGTCGTCTTGTCCATACCATCGCCAAGAATGAGAGTGACTATAATGTTGGACTTTGCTATACTTCTCAATGCAATTTCACCGAAGGTGAGCTAGACATGCTAACTCTAATCCCCAATATATCACACCAAACCACACCTCATTCGGACAACACATCAAAACTAACCAAACCAAAACAGGAACCTACCTCGACTACCGCTACTTCGACGCCCACAACATTACCCCCAGATACCCCTTTGGCCACGGTCTCTCGTACACCAACTTCCAATACTCAGACCTCGCCATCAAAACCCCTTCTTCCATAGCCAAAGCTCCCAAAGGCAACCTCACCGTCGGCGGCCACAGCGACCTCTGGGACGTCGTGGGAACCGTGTCGGCCCGCATTTCCAACAACGGCACACTTGCCGGCGCAGAAGTTCCCCAGCTCTATCTCGGCTTCCCAAATTCGGCAGAGCAACCCGTTCGCCAGCTTCGGGGATTCGATCGTTTGGAACTCTCTGCTGGCCAGGAAGCCATCGTCACGTTTAATTTGCGTCGTAGGGATATTTCTCATTGGGATGTGAAGACCCAGAAGTGGCTTGTTGCTGGTGGGAAATATAGAGTTTTTGTGGGGGCTAGTTCGAGGGATTTGAGGTTGAATGGGTCGTTTTTTCTTTGGGTTGGGCATTAGCTTTGTTATCTAGTATGGTGTTTCTGTAGGTCATTGCTCATAGGAGTCATCCGATGGATAGAACCAATCATGGTGGCGAAGGAGGATCGAGAAGGGTGGAATGTCTGCAGTATGTCGTAGGTGGTAGCACCTGTTGCTGAATACATGGCTAATCATAGATCATCTTATCAACATCAGAAGTGAGCTGGCAAGCTAGTGGTACTATCCTATACCTTCAATCCTTGAATGTTGTCACATCCCTGTCCGACATGCTTGTTCTGGGATGGATTCTAGACAAGAGGTCCTATCTTGTTCAATGATGGTAATTATTGCTCTACCTACAAGACATTTAAACTTTGCACATAACCTATCCGATACAGGTCAAACCAATTAAACTTAATTAAAGTTCGGTATAAGTCTGTTACTATATCGATATCCTAGATCAAGACACAGAACATAATGCCAATAGTGTATCTTTGGATCCAATATGAATCTTCTCAGTATTGCCTTGGAATAGTGTGGTTCTGGGTAGCAACCACCTTATATATATATCACCTAACCGATTGAATCCTTGTTCAGGATTCAATTGTGAGCCGTTTGGTCGAGCGGGTTAGGTGACTCCTAGTGGGAATCACAATAGTATAAGAAATATACAAGCCAAAAGCACACAATATGACAAGTATGTAGTTAGCCCTTTGAGTTAATCAACTCCAATAAACAGCTCCCCCCAATTCACCCTCTGATCCACCAATGTATTCACCCGCCAACGATCCTGCGTGCCGTCCCTCTTCTGACAACACCTCGGAACAGCCAGTACCTTCTTCCCAACAAAGTCCACCGGGTCGATTGCAAACAACAGCCACGTATCCGCATAAACGCCATTATCATCCTCAATCTCAATAATGTTAATCTGTAATACCTCAGGGTTGGGTTCATCAGCTGGGACGAGATGGTCGAATGTTAGACCGTAATAGCCAATCTGCCTTATCGGTCTAGTGGAATGAGTTAGTTATAGGGATATTATATCAGGATTACTGGGTACGGATTAGGACAGACTTACTCATTCGGATACTTCTCTGGAATCCAGCCCATGTATTCGCCTTTCACGACCAGATCGCCTGGGACTTCTGGACTTACGTCCTGTCTGTAGATCTGTCGATATGTCAATCGTGCTAACTCTGGGCCTGCTGGATGTGGGAATGTTTGGTCTTGGAGACTCAGATGCCATGGGGGTATGTGGGAGAACTCTCTGGATAGCAATTAGGGGACCTTCCACTTGGATTCGAAGTGGGTGGCCCTGTGCTGGGAGGTGATGTTTGCTGGTGGGATTGTGAATACAAGGTGGTATGTGAAGTGGGAGCGCCATTTGGTGGAGGTTCTTCTTCGTGTATGCTGTTAGTGGTTTAGAAGTTGTGGTAGCTAAAGCAAATCATCTGTGGAAAAGGGGGATAATAGAGCACATTTGGACAGTGCGTTCGTATGTCTAAGGAATGGTATTGTAAGGTTTCTAGACCGTGTGATATATGTTCTCATTCACTAGTTGGTCAAAGGCTGTAGGTCCTAGGCAACCACGTGATCTCGCACACATGAAAACAATCCTTTGTATGTGAATTACGTTCCTTTTAAAAAAGGATTCAACTTTTTATGAAGGCCGTAATATCTTCTGAAGGCACGGGGTTTCGCTCATGACTTGTCTTTGTGTGATTGGATCATTGCATGAGTATTGGTACCGCTAGGGGTATCAAAGATTATATCTCGCAGTAAGCGACGGGTCAAATCTGTCTGAAGGGTTACTCAGTAATAGAGTCGCCGAGTCGATGTGTTGGGTAAAAGGTGGTTATCTGAAGGGATCCTTAGGTAGTTTATGTGCTGGGTGGTTATTGCATCGCATGATAAGTGTGGAATAGAGGATGGATCAGTTGGTTAGAAGTCTTCAGAAACAAAGCTGGTGGTCCTCCTGGATAAGGATGAATTTGGATGAGCATTATCTAGGATAAGTCTACTTAGGCACTAATGGATGCTCAACTCCTACTTCGGCAGTTTGAATCCTCCAGGTATTTTCGTCTGAAACAGCCTCTTCGGATCGACGTCCAGACTCACGCGCTTCAATCTCTCCACACACTCGCTCTTATAGCTAGCGATCGGGTCTTGCCATGGCGCAGCGTAGTTGAGGTAAACGAATGGTTCGTAGACACCCAACTTGCGCGCATCATTTTCAATATGCTCGAAAAGCTCGCGCGCAGCCTTCTCAACTTTCTCATCATCTGACTCGTCGTCCCAAGTTGCACTCAGCAGAGTCACAACCAGCGGACCAGACGCATCATCAAGACCCAATGAATTCTTAGAGGCATTGCGGGAATAGATAGCCGGGGGCAATGGCTCAAGAGAAATAGCCCACACCATACCGGGAATACCTTCGACACCCTTAAGACTAGAATCCCAATGCTGGTAAACCGCATTCAACATGGGAAGAGTAGAACCATGCGTCATAACCACACTCATCTGCCTTCAACATAGTTAGCCTAAATCCCATCACCAAACACAAGATCCCCCTAACTCACCGTTTCCCCTCCTTCGAGAATGACCCCTGCTCCATCGCCATCTCATGCATCCCCGCAATCCTTACCGTACTAAACAGCTTCGGAATCTCCATAAACGGACGATAAACCGCCGGATTCTCCTCAGCTTTCGTATACACAATACTATTCACTACAGCTTTGCCCTGTTCCGAGAACCCGAAACTGGTGATCAGTGACGCATGCTCATCGTACCCCTCTGCTGAATTCAGGCCTGCAAATGCCTCTAACTGCTGCTGATAAGTATCAACAGAATGGTAAACACTTCCTCCCCAGATAGGACCCTGCTCGAACGTCTTCATGTCTACACGCGTGACAACCCCGAAATTATTGGATCCGCCACGCAGCGCGATCATCAATTCCGGATTCTCATGCTCGTTGGCATTAACGATGGTGCCGTTGGCGAGCACAATCTCGAAGTTCGTCACCGTGTCGCACGTCCAGCCGTACCGTGGGGAGAAATACGAGATTCCCCCACCGGTCGTCAGACCACCGACCCCTACCTGGGCTGCGCGACCTCCTGCGACTGAGAGGCCTAATGGGTCGAGATGGGAGTAGACATCGCCCCAGGCTGCACCGACGCCGATGGAAGCGGTCGTGTGGTCGGGGCTTACGGTGATTCTGTTTAGGCCTCGAAGGTCGAGGGTGATTCCGTTTGCAATGTTGGATGCGCCGGTGAACGGGGCGTGGCCACCTGAGCGGATGGCAAAATTGGTGGTTTCAAGGGTTGAGGTTATTGTTTTGATGGCGGTGGACACGTCTGCTGCTGTAGTTGGGGAGACAATGCAAAGGGGGTGGAGGTTGGAATTTTGTTGGGAGAAGTAAGTGTTGATGGAGTCGTTGTAAGGTTGGGTGTTTGGGAATGAGACTTTATTGCCGAGACCGCCAATTAGCGCTAGGCACTGGCTTTGTTAGGTTGGAGCACTATATAGGTTGGATGGGCTTACACAAGTTGCTACACTCGTGTTGGTGATGTTTTCGGAGAGATAGTCCATGGCTGAAAATTGTGTAGATTTATGTTATCGGCAGAAAATAAGGAAGGACGACGGAGGAAGAGGGGTGGGGGGGACAGTCATTTGTATGTAAACTGAGAGAAAGTATACTTTACGAGACTTAGGGCTTACATATGATGCATCCATACGATATGGCCAGTCAGACTCTGGTTTGGTGGCTTACTGCATTAGCGGCAATCCCTCTCGAGGTTAGTACTGTCTCTTGATCCAAAGCTTCTTTATTTGTCCTTTACTCATGCAACTCTCCAAAGTACTAGCGAGTACTAACATAGTACTTGTCAGGGTACCTTTCGACGCGAGTGACCCAGAAGCGCCGGTCTCCATGTACCCCTAGCAGTTGATTGTGGCTGTAAGGCGTCCACACGGAACCCAGTTACAATGTGGTACAGCCTCTAGCAAACAACTGGGACACAGGCTGCACAGCCACCCCGCGCCCCGATATACAGGATCGATCACAGTGACTCCTTTGAGTTTCGCGCAAGACTCACTCTAGGTGATCCTTCTCCTCGCTCTTCGGAATGCGAACAAAGCCAGCACACACCACCACCACCACCGCCGCCCCCAGCGAAATCGCCCGGAAAGCGCCCAAATCCAAACCATACCCGTCACCGCCAGCTTTGGTCACTTCCTTCCCGATTGTGTCTCCAATCGCCGTTACAATGGCCGCTGAGAGATTCTGGATCGTCACAAGTAAACTCCCCGCTGATCCCTGGAATGAGCGAGGCACGTTGGATGTGATGAAAATCGACGCAGCTGCGAAGGTCAGACCCGGCCCGAACGTAACGAGGGCAATCCTGGGCATGGAGAGAGCCTAGTATGTGGTGTTTGGCGTTTGCGGGAGACCGCAAAGCTCTCGCTAATCATGCGTGACATTATCATCAGCTGGTTCTACCCTGGACGAGAGCCCATGAAGTCAGAACATCTCCACGCAAAGCTGACAAACTGGAAAGCAGAGCTAGTTCCCACATTAACCTGGGACCCTGAAGTTCTGGACTCCTCAAACCCGTTTTCCATGTCCCTGTCGGTCCAATACAATCACCACCTGATCCTGATCTACCTCGGCCACATGCGCGGCGAGAACACATGCAACCTTGACGAGCAGGAGATTGAAGAAATTGTCGACGGCGCTGCGCATCACATCCCGACGGTAGTATGCGCACTCGCCACGAAATATGCCCTCCTCACCGTGCCCCACGAGCTATACCACGGTATCTTCCTCGCACAGGCCGCCTTCTACGAGCGGATGAGAAGCCCGAATAAAGTGATGGCGCGTCTTGGTCGGTCTGCACTTAATTCGTGCCAGGTGGTGCTGCAGGCTATCAGCGAGTTCTGGGATAGTGGGACCTTTTATCATGCAGCTGTTTGAGAATCTGTCCAGTCGCGCCCGGGAGCAGCCGTCTTGGACTACTGACAATAGACAGGAGAGCGGTGGGTTGGGAATTGCTGAGGCCTCTGGCGTAAGCGGCACTATGAACTCTGCAAATGAGGCTGGCGTTTTCAATGCCTTGCTGGGAGAGGATCGATGGCAGGGGAACCCCATGCTGGAGAGTTTGTTTGATCTACCGCCAGAGCTATTTTTGCCTGAATAGGACGCGGTCATTCCCACGTAGGTTGGGGACTAATAGGCATTGGGTGTTTCTGGTACGCTACCTTTAGAGGCATTACAGTATACTCTCACGACGGGAAGTTGGGGCCGCGGATTACGCGCGTACATGCCTTGACGGGATTGGATCAACGCACGATCGGGTTTCTGTCTCTAAATCCACCCTGTACAAGGTTTCCCGCGCTCGCTCGTGTTTCTTGTCGCAGCGACGACACGTTTTGGAGGCGCGGATACAAACCCCGGTCGTGAACGCGACTCATCAAGCCCGCATACGATGATCCTTACTACGGGTTCAAGTTCTGCGAGCTTTACAAAAGCAAGAAATATAACATTTCCAACGTGTCGGCAATCATCGACCTTAATCCAGCGGGAGGCGGCTTCTGTGACCGCACTATTGTCAAGGCTATAAACTACGTCCCGCTTCTATCGACCGTTGACCTCAAGGGTGGCGTGTTAGTCGAACTACATGCGATTGGTCACCATTCTATGACATTATCTGACTTCAAGGTGGTCCAGTCGAGGCTGATCTGTGGTACCGGTCCTATTAGTTTAGCTATATTTTTATTCTTCCGCATCATAGGCGTATCCAATGGCAAGCCTATATGGGTAGTGTCGACATAGCCTCTGGTACAGCTGGCCTTCAGTCGACGCTGGGTGTTTGCACTTCAAGCGCGAAGTCTGGGGGTGTTATCTTTAACGTAATAATTTACAAGAAACCGCTCTTGCTGAATCGAAACAACCTGGAAATAAAGGAGAAGAAGGTTAGAGAGCATCTGTCATTATATTACTGAGTCGAAAAAAGTCCAACACAGACCATACAGTCACCTCTGTTGTTCCGTTGTCTAGGGCTGTTGAAGGGGCTTCTACGGTCGGCTCATATAAAGATTTTGATTAAGCCTTAATAGTCAGGCAGCGTATGATTGGAGTTTTACAGGTACTCATTGTTAAGAGACCCTAAATTGGCACCAAGTGTCGTCTGGTCCCCCACTGCGACATCATATCGCTCAGGATTCAACCTCTAGCATTGCTCACTGTTTAGTTGAAGGATATTCAAGGGCAGCTAATCAAGAATAAAGCCCCTCTTAAATTTCAATGAATAGATTATTGCTCCAGGGCTGCAGCCGGGAAACCAATTCCGAGATCCACCCCTTGTGAATAGTTACTCGGAATATGCATTTGTCAGCCATATAGCCGCACATATATCGGCGAGTCGACAGTTCCCTGCCTAGCATTGGTGGAGGCTGCACATGATATAAACAATTTCCCCCCTCAAGTTTTGTATTGGCGGAATGTCAAGCAAATGAAAAAATCATAAAAGTATCAGGTTTGCCACTTATTGTGAATCAGTTAGATACATTTCTCGGAAGCTACAGACCCCGATTTAAAATGTCAATCACCCACATTGTCCTTTTCCAATTCAAGCAGGATGCGGCTCCTGAATCTGTGCAAAACGTACGTTCAGTCCTGTTGAGTTAGATCTCAGTGGCATCTTCTACACTCGTGCAACAATTAAGAAGAATCCAGGCATGCAAGAGGATGCTCAGTCTAAAAGACCACTGCCTCTACCCATCAACGGGAAAACCGTATATTCGATCGGCGTCGGGTGGAAAGGATAATTCTCCAGAGGGAGCGCAGGTATGTTCATGGTCCTCTGACTTAATTTATGTTAACAGAACCGCTGACTTTCCGTCCAGGGTGGTATCACACATGCATTTATTGTTGAGTTTGCCACAGCCGCAGAACGAGACTATTACGTGGCGAGCGACACCGTGCATCAGGAATTTGTCAGAAGCCTGGATGGGTTGATTGAGAAGGCACTGGTGGTTGATTTTACCCCCGGTGTCCTGTAGAGACCATTGTTGGGGGCCTGTTCGACATGTCGTGTGAGATGCATATGGAAGATATATTATACCGCTTGAGCTCCGTTACCTCTGATAGTATAATATGATGCCGCCCATTGTAGCGCCTCATCCTCTTAAGAAACCTTGAGACCTTGGTTGACGCCCTAGTAATGGCGAGAGCCTATGCATTATTCATATCCCCCTTTGAGTGTTCTTTTGTACTCTTACAAGGAAGATTGAGAAGGAAAGTAGTAGGAGTTGGACCTCAGACCTAGTGGTAAAGGAATGATACGTATCGTCATAAGACTGATGAGAGAACGTGATGCAATACTAGCAACTGAAAGGTTGATTAAGATTTGGTTTTGGAACTGTGACTTCGGAGACTCCCACCAGGAGCATTTGATATCTAGTTTACAAGGTATATATGGATTATCTACAGGAATACCATCCCCCCTCAAGTGCTAATAGGAGGTAGGAATCATATTTAGCAATCACAAATAGTGTCTCGTCAAATGGTCCGTCCATCAACCACCTCAACAGATCAAAGCCCCATTCTAGCTGCCTCGCACCGAATGATATCTGGCAACTCATTACTTAGACTTCTCTCCTGCGGCTGCCAACCTAGGACTTTCTTCGCTCGCGCAGCCACACCACGCGAGTTCATGCCCCAACTCGCCGCTTCAAATCCCGCCGATGAATTGACAGCCTCATCAATCGACCAATCTCGAAGCTCGGGACCCCCGCCGCCCTTGATAAACCCTTGCTTGAAGGCTTCCTCACCAACGGCCACGGACAAATCGCCCCAGACATGCTCACCATTTCCCGTGAAATAATAACCATGCGCTCCCAGATCTCGGGATCGTCTTTGGAAGACGGGTCCATTGCAGCTTGTACCAGCAGCTCAAACATCCTGCTCAAATCACGGACATGGACGTTATTCATGTTGCGATGGAAAGCAGCCGCAGGTAGGTTAATTAGCTCGTTGATGCCTTCAAGGTCATTGAATACCTTGTCATCCGCCTCTCCAAACGTCTTCTTAACTTCCGAGTCAAAGTACGTAAGAAACCCAGCTCCACCCATGCGCAACCAGAATCTAGGTCGCGACGCGGAATGACCCTACACGAGCCCTTTGGCTATAGCCTTCGCAGCCCCGTCGTGATCTGATGAATCGGCAGTATCTTTATTGCATTAGTATCTTTTCATTGAGATATCTGGAAGGGGGCGGGGGCAAAGGAAACAATGTGTACTCACGGATGACAAAATCAGCCCATGCGGCTTCACGTTCCAGTAATGCGGAATCGTCGTTACCGCCAATGACGATTCGGGCTTTCGGGTAGCTAGAGAGCACCTTCTTTGCCTTATCTTCGGAGCGGATAAGGAGTGCATACTCGAAATCCGGATATCTCGGGTGTAGTTGGTACAAGACGTCACCGCCAATATAGCCTGTGGCTCCGGCAACGAAGACTTTGACTGCTGTAATATAATTTTGGCCGAGTTTACGGCAACCCTGGTTTGGGGTACCAAGGAGCAGTCCATCAGCTCTCCTGTAGGGCTCGAAGGAAATTTGGCGGCAAGAGCCTTATTTCCTTAGGTCATAATATAACTCAATCGAAATTATTAGCAGGCACCCCCGCGGTTTGCCTTTGTGCGGTTGTATGGTTGAGCATCAATCGTCCCGTGTAGCTGGTGGGCTGAATGGATTTGTCCAACTAGGTACCAATTTAATATTAACCGCTTCGGTAAAGAAAAAAACCTTGCCGAGTTTGTACTTAGGAGCTCCTGCCAGTAAATGAGGGCCAACGTCAAGAGAAAATCACTTGTATGAAAAGCCATAAATTTCAAGGCATGAGCTATAGCTGGCTCTCCACAAACCTCAAATCAAAGGGTATACAAGGATCCTCTATTCAAGGTCATAACATTCCATATTATATGACAATCGCCAGAGCATTATGCTAAAGATAACCTTCTGTGGCTGTCTATATAGGTAAGAGATCCTCAGAACTATAAACTAATTTACTAACTCTAATAGTTATAGTATACTAGCCTTATCTTTCTAATACAAAAGGTATAATTTATCCAATACAGTTTACTAGTACTAAGATAGAGGAATGACTTTTCCGACGAGGGACCGTAGATGGCACGACGGGTAGATGGGGTGGCGAAGAATATTTCAAAAAGTGACAAACGCACAACATTCCCTTGAAATAAATGGCATTAATAAATGAGATGACCTCCTGGCCTTGCAGTCAGCCCTGGTGTCCTGGCAACCCGTCTTTCTGATGTATTTTGCGGATGCTCTCATGCCATCTACTCTTTCCAAGAGCATGGAACAGCAAGAGCTCAAACGGTTTATGTTAAAATCATTACGAACAAGGCTCTCTAGGGACTCACAGAGAAGACACACGCAAGTGGCACTCTAGGGACATGCCGCAGCGGATCGCGGAGAATTCTATGGACTCCCCAGAGAAAGAGGGCACATGTCTGTTTCTATGTTAGAAAGCGTTGAAAACAACGGTAACTCAGAGGTCGTTATGCTCTATACAATTAAAATTAACATCCGTTAGAACAAACTATGAATCTGTACAGTCCAGTAACTGAACAAAAGGCAGTTTTTTAACAGGTATGCTTGTCGACGGCCACATAATCAACTCTGTTGTCAATGTGAAATCTGGGGGTCATGGCCTAACATTATATTCCATCTTGCCTAGCTCATTCTGCCACAGGAACTGTACTCCTTCCGTGTTCGCTCAGGTAAAACGATTTCTGGTTATATAAATGCACTACTGTAGATTCTAAAACTCCACACCTTCTGCAATAGTGTATACAGCCCCATAAAGGGGTTAGGTATCATTTCCCAATCGTACATTAGCGATTTACACAAACATAAATACCAATGTACATGACCGCAAGCGGTTGATGGATCAGCATCCCATGAGGCTAGTGCCCTTGTTCAGGGGGTGGATCCGACGTATCATATACTGACTATTTGCATGCTGCAGCAATCCAGCAGAAAAGGAGCGGCCAGTTAGCCACGTTGCAGACATTGTTCTATGCGGGAAATTGGGGGAAACCCGCATCCTGCAGTACCAGGCCTTGTTGGAGTCCATGATGCCATCCATCCGCCTGGGCGATCGAATCTATCATGTGACTGACATTGACCGTGCTCATTGTCCACGAGTCGTGCCAATGAAGGTCCTGGTGCTGGGCCTTTGCCGCACCGGTACAGAATGTCATTATTCACGGCTCCGCTATTGAAGCCAGGGCTGATAGAACTACAGCACTTATCATCATATCACGGCTATCACGCTTTGATAACAAATTCTCGCAACTGTGAGATTTGGTTGAAGGGGCTGCGGTCGAAATGTGATGGGATTGGCAAGCCATTTGGAAGGGCGGAGTTTGACAAACTTCTGGGCCATTGTCAGGTATGGCCCTCGTTCTCGAATGTAGATATGGCTATGCTGTCAGTGATTTGCCTGCTGCGTGCTTTCCACGCGAGTTGGTCGAAGCGTATCCAGAGGCAGAAGTCATTTCGACGGTGTGAGATGTGGACGAGTGGTACAAGTATGTTAGCCCACTTTCATTCACTGACTCTCACCGCACTAAAGGTTTGGTAGTTCTATAATGCGGATCGTACGAGCGCTAGGCAAAGATCATATTAAATACATCATGATTCCCTTGATCAGGGCGATTAACATTCTCACCTTCAGCAGCTTCCGCTGGGTTATATTAACATTCGAAAAGGCTGGTCTGGGTATGTTCACCGAGCCCTTTGAACAGAGAGCCCGCGAAATCTATTCTGAGCATTATAAGATGATTCAGTCGCTCGTTCCGGTAGAGAGGTTATTAAAGTACCACGTCAAGGAGGGATGGGAGCCGTTATGCACCTTCTTAGAACAGCCAATCCCGGAAGCTCCTATCCCCAATATTAACTTAAAAGCCGAGATGCAAATGCGGAGCGACAAGTGTACCTTGTTCATGTTGAAAGAGTGTGCTGTAACTGAGATGAAGTCTGCTGTTTGTCTGTTCGTTGCTGGCTTTCTACTCAAGATGGCTATGCTGGATCGTTTCGATTAATGCCGCACTCCTTGTTCCTCCCCAGACCTTATGATTAGTATATAGTAAAGTAAGCTCTAATTTTATCACGGTACAGTTGTCGGTTAGTATCGTATGGACATCAATAAATGTTTCAAATTATTTTAGCGATGTTGATGAACAAAAGCCTGTCTTCCTTCAGTAATTGCCACTGAATACCAGTTCCTATATTTAATAGCTGGAATGTCCTGTCCTGTGCAGATGCCAATTGCTGGCAGCCCTCTAAGAGAATACCACACCTGATGATGAGGTGCTCAGCGCCTGATATTAGTTGTAGCGGCTCTTCAGCAGCTATGGAGATCTCCTATTACTTTATTGTACTGTCTGTTGAGCCAGTTGGTAGTATAATGCTGTTGCTAATGGTTTGAACACAAGAAGATTCACTACTGAATGGCCCATTATGATTCCCTTGAGAGCATCGGTTTCCGTTTCCTGGATTGTGACTGTCTTATTTTCTCGGATGCATTGTCAACGATTTTCCGCCATGTGGGACATGTTTATCATTGACAGCATGAGTAAGGGTCTTTAGAATCTTACTTGTGTATAAGATCCACAAGCACACTGTCCATTATTATGAACAAAGCGCCAGGATGTTCTCCACTGTTGATAAAGCGATAAGTGGGACTACATTTACTGACCCTCCAGAGGTTGCAGTAGCGGGTCTCATTCACCTTCCGTTGGGGGGCATCCATACTCATATGTTGGTTGTACGATGTCTGATCTGGGTGTGAACAAGAGGGAAGAAGAATAGAGTTCAAGCAATGTTTCTTGTTAAATGTTGTATAGAATATATATACTAGGTAGGTAAAAGAGTACAGGGCTGAGATTAAAAACGAATATGTGATGAGATTCCTCGCTTTCTGTCGAACGCGCACGTGTCTGCTCGATTGTGAGGTTGTTTAGTACCACCCAGGTAGAGCAGGATAAATAGGAAGACTGAGAAGCATTGCCTTGTTATCCAAGAATTTAGCTAAATTAAAGGCCTAGCACCGCAGCTTACTCAATTTGACTATGTAATTCTATATATCTATTGTGGTGGTGGATCTACTTTTCAGAGTAGAAGGTCCGTTAGCTAGATAAGATAATATAGGCAGTTGAGTTATTAATATCTGGTATTCTGATAACTCTAGGATTTAATATAGAAGCTGATTCTTGTTCTCCTTTTGGTTAGAGTAGGATCAATTTATTAGGCTATAGTAGATTTCAGAAACCTGGTCGATTTGTATAAATCAGCATTCTTGTCTCTCATGCTCAACACGCGAGATCTAAAAGGCTGATAGACCTATATATGCCTAGTCTCTCTCTGATCGCGTGGCTTTCTACGATGAGCATTATCACCCACATCTCGTCAACACAGCCCCTGAAATATAGTTTCATGGCATTGTGGTGACTCAGCGAAAGGTATGACATTACTCATTATAATAAGTTAGAGCACGGCCCCAAGTTGATCGGCCAGTGGGCAAAATACGAGGATCGATGTTGTGATAGACACCCGCCGAGACCGACGGGCCTCGCTTTATTAGGGCACATTTCCGCAAAAGGCTAAGCAGCTCTCGTATTAGCCGCTGATCCTCGAGACTTTCTCATAAGTTTGGCCTTCATACCTCGTACTGGGTGGCTTGGCCTGAAAGTAGAGCCTCGTTGTTGCACCCCACCTCACCTCGGGCCCATAAGTCTCCTGAACTTATAACAGCTAAGGTACTCCGTAGAACATATGCTTGCCAGCGTACATAAGAAGACAAAAAAAAAAAAACCTGTGAATAAAATTTTCGCATGTCATGGCAGAACTCACAGTGGGTTATGTGTCTGGTATCATTGCTGCTGCTGTCTTTTTGGGTAGGTTCAACCGAACGTAGTGAAGACCTAACACACGAGATACTTATATGTCCAAGTCCGCCTATTCGTTCCTACTGTTATAAGCTTGATAGTCATCGGTCATCTTCCAGAGGAGAATACGATCGTCTCATGGTATTTCTGATTTCCCCCGTTTTAGTGCTGTTATTGACACAATATTAGGTCCGTTGTTAGTCGGCTGATTCATTCGTCCTACTGGCCAACGATACTTGATTCTGATACTGCCGCCAGTACGGGGGTCAGTAGAGCGATCAAAGCTTGCAGCTGGCTACAGTTGAGTGCGCTTGGACTTGTTGCAATTACTGGAATTGTAACCCCTTTGGGCCTATATGATACTATTGGCCCTGATGATACCCCGACGAATGTCCCATTCCGCTATGCCTCTGATACATCGCCTTTCGGAAAGGCCACCCGATCGAGAGATGGATATAGATCACTGAGGATCTGTTACGCAGATGATGACCCCAATACCCCGGAGGGATGCCCTGGTGCACCGCCAAATATCGATGACATTGAAGACCCCTCTGAGGCATACTCGATCTGGCCGAGTAGTGTTGATTTATTTACCAGCGGCGATGTATCGCCGACTATTTCCAGCCTATTCGACATCCAGTGGAGGTCGTTCCGGTCGACGAACAACGTGGCCCTGTACAACGCGAGTGTAGTATCTGAAGGATATTACCGACAAATTTCACAGTTAATCATGGAGGAAGGAATCCTAGCGGTGGAGGGATTGATCATTGATACCAAAGCTGGACGCATAGGTTTCCGGAACCATACTGTTCCTGTCGATGTGCCTACGGGTGCGAGATGGACAGAAGATATACTGTTCATCGAGCCTGAGGCACGTTGTGTGAACACCAACTTGACTGTGGACTACAGGTATAACCCGTCCAGTGAGTCAGGTAGCATTGAGGACACACGGGACTCGGTCCTGGTTGACCACGGCGGCTTTAGCAGCCTAGCCCATGCGACTTATGAAATAGACCATGCAGATTTCCAGAATAATGTAGCATTGTATGAGCGTGCCTACAATGCTGCCTGGAGACATAATATGCTAGTGATGCAGTTTCTCAATGTAACGACTAACGGTTCAGATGGACTGGCACCCTTCGCCTATATGAATTCGAATATCGGAAAGAAGTTCGATTTAAACGGCATATCGAGTATCTATGTTGCGCCTGTGACTGTTCAGACGGACACCGGGTATGCTAGGTTCCTTGAACTGCCGTCTCCTAACCAGTCAGCTACAACAACGTCCCTCACCCCTACCCCTGAGGGCCCTAACCCTTTCAATCTTACTTCACGCGATACCTACGCGATTGCCCAGGAGGCTTGCCATTACCCTTCAATGCAAGATTTGTCTAACCTGTCGTTCGTCGGTGTGTCCTGTGGCACTGTTTTCGCAGCACCCGCAAGGACTGACGGGGACCCACTCATCCCCGACACAAATAGCACTTGGAGCACACCGATCTACTCCTGTGCTGCAGCAACAAAAGCGACCATACGCAAGGTCACCTTCAGATTCAATGGAACAGGGGAACTGGACAAGCTAGCAATCGAGAACATAGAGCGCCCATCTGAACCTCCACTCTGGGGTGTCGAGCGATTAACGAATCACACGATAAGGAACGTACGACCTCTATGGGGCATCGTGTCTCCAGATGTAGGCACTCGTAACGATATCTCCACTCTCCAAAGAGACCATCTCTGGCTTCCTGGTTACCCAGATCTGTTCGTATCGGACTTCGGTACCGGAGAGCCAAACATGCCCGGGAACCGGTTCTATATGGACAGGCTGTCATCTATCTTCGATGTCAAAGCTGTAGACAAATACAGTTCACGTTATACGGGGCTTAACGACCTGGCTCTATATAACCAATGGCTCGAGCTATCCAAGTCAGCAGCCGGCGTGGAGCAGATGCTCAAACTTATGTGGACTGACATGGCGGCCAATACTGTGGTTGGCACGCGTGGGTGGCATAGTACCCCCTCGTCAAGGAATAGGGAGGGACTGTCAAAGCGAGGCAGCGGCGAGGTAAATGTGCCGGTTGTCTTGTGGTCACATAACATTGAATATCGACTTCCGTACGCTATCCCTGCCTTTATATTACTTGTCCTCTGCATAGCATTGGGAACATGGAGCATTTGGCTCCTTATTCTGAGGCGCATCGGCCTGAAACAAATGCGAACATACCTTGCTCGTACATCTGCAGGTAGGATACTCGGGCATGCGCTGCATGAGGATCAAGGGAACATTCTTGCATCTACAGAAGCATGGCTTCAGCAGATAGGCTTACGAAAAGCCACGCTGCCAGGACGAGATGAAGACAGCGAAATACCTTTGCTAGATATTCAGCGGACGCCAACCCACCAGGAAAGTATTGGAGATAAGAACTCTAAGTAGAGCTAACGTCATGCCTTATCGCAGACATTGCAACTGAATATCGTGTTTCTAACGATTTTATGTTTTTTTGTTGATTTTTTATCTTTTCTTTTACCATTACTTTTTTCAATTTATATTTTCTTTTTATTCTTTTCTTATTTCTTTAAGCCATAACTTAATGCAGTCTGGATACAAGTGACTTTCAAAGCTAATCCATAATAATGAAAACATATATTCAAGTATATTAACTTTGAAAGGAGATTTACCAGTTGTGCATGGGATACTGTACCTATCATGATTTATGATCTCTGTCCGAGCTTATAAAGTCAGGGAAACCAGCATCAGCTTATCCTCTAATATTGGTATATTATTGGTAAATTTAATACGAATTCCTGAGTCCCAAATCTAGACCAGCATTATCTTTAGCATCTCCACGGTGATGCAGGCCAAGAACCATTACCCAGGACCGCGTGGGCTGTATAAATGGCTCCACCTTAGGATCATCATGCATCCTTTTCACTAATTTTATACTCGCCAATTTCCGTATATATACTTTCATTCCCTCATATATACCCTTGCAGATTCTCTGCTAAGACAATTTCAGTAGTGTTATAGTTTGCCGCCTTCGGATAGCAAAAAGATTGGAGCATGCGATACGCAATAGTCTTGATACCAATACACTCCTTGTAGTTTTGAGTCGGGATCTTTGGGTGGCTCAAGTGGACATTCGGGCTATTTAGAGACCAGTTTGATTGTTAGAAAATGGTATACTGCTATTATTCTTTGCAATGAACGCAAAGATTAAAAGATGGATTGCTCTTGAGACTTTGAAGGAACTCAGCAGTGTGGAAGGCGTGCCAGTATCATATGTTTTAATATCCTATGTAACGAAAAGTATTAAATTGCTTAGTTCCGGAATGGGCAATCTGGTTGGTCTCAGACATGCTACTTTAGCTTACAGCCTGACTTCAACAGGGTGATAAATAAAGTATATGTCACTTTATCCATCCACAAGGGTTCGTTTTTGTGGTGCATCATTTTAGATCGCAGGTACAGGACGGAAAACTTAGCTGTGCTACGTTGCTTGATCGAGACATGGAAAAAAGGTTTTGTAATATCTATATAGCTATCAGAGCCAGGAGGCTGCCCTAGAATATATTTTCTGACGTATCAATCATCAATCTCACTGACAAGGAACATCCACCACCATTCGACTATAGTTTGCTCGAGCCGGCCGGAGTCGGTACGGGGAATTTGCTGATATCGTCACTCGTCTTTCCGTCAATGGCGAGCTCCGCCACCACTCGACCGATAGCAGGAGCAAACTTGAACGCGTGTCCATTACCCAGGGCGACAATAATGTTAGGGTTCTTTTGAATCGGGCCGATAATGAACTGGCGATCCGGCGTGATGGAATACTGACAGGTTACTGTCCGCAAATCCTGGCCATGGCCGGGGATGATAGTATCCATGTGATCCTTAAGGGTCTTGAACACCTTTTGGGAGGGAACAAAAGTGCGATTGTCGGGCGTCATAAAATTCTCCTGGGCATCCTGGCCTGCCTTGATGGTTGGCTCGCCGTAGGTCGGAAATCCATAGAACCATTTCTCGCCACCCCAGATCCACACGGGGAACCGCTCTGGTTCGAAGAGAGCTGGATTCTCCGGCTTGAAGTAGGTAATCTGCTCCTGCATGACGGTGAGGGGGATTTCGGCTCCAAGGGGTCCAAGAAGCTTGTTTATCCAGGCGTCAGCCGCAAGGATCACTTTCCCGGCTCGGACCCGACCCTTGGACGTCTCGATGATCACACCGTTGCCATCTGGTATCAGGCGGTCTACCCGAGTCTTCTCTCTTAAGACAGCTCCATTGGCACGAGCTTGGTATTGCATAGTTGTGACGGCTTTGGAAGCATGGACAATGCCAGTGTCTGCTGTGTAGACGGCATCAATCCCATCGGGAATGTTGAACCCGGGCCAACGTCGGTTGACTTCTTTAGAATCAAGTAGCTCGTAAGGAACACCATTGGCGTCAAGACTCTTGGTAAAGTCGCTAGAAGGGGTTGGTCCGTTTCTGGGGAGGAATACAACACCGCCAGTTATATCCAGCAGGTTCAAGCCAGACCGTTTTTCCAAGTCTGCCCAGTCTTTGTACGCCGACCGGGCAAGTGCAACAAACTCAGGGGACCCGTATGAAGTCCTGACAATGCGTGAAGTATCATGGGAGGCTCCGCGTACGTGGCCCAACTCGAATTGTTCGAAGCCGATGACTTTGGCTCCCTTGACGGCTGCTTGGTAGGCTGCTCCGCTTCCGAGGGCACCAAGGCCAACAACTGCAACATCGTATCGCTCCATGGTTGTTTTATGGGAGAAAGGACAAGGAGAATGAAAGGAAAGAAGATTGGAACACTGGCAGTTGAATGACTAGGGGATGGGGTTGTCAGTAGGCATATATATACCTTTTTGAGTCCTACGGTAGTTTACCCCTCTTCAAGATTATGCATCGGAGATGATCCGCTTGGTATGTGTGGCACACGATACCGGACAATCTACTCTATCCCTCGAGAGTCCGATTCGAGGTAGCTAAAGTGGGATTACATCTTCACCCGGCCTTCAGAGCCAACCAATTTAGTCCCCACATACTCGGCCCCAACTACCGGCATCGCACCAGAACCTGAACACGTCTGTGCGTATTTCGTTCCCTAGTTAATCACGGGTCAAAAGGTATGTGTTTGACGCTGGCTGTGTAAAGTTCTTGGCTTGCTGGGTCGGGGCACCGTCCAACATACGGATGACACTACGGCCTTTTCCTCCGACCCCGTGATCTGATTGGATGTTATAAACCCTAGCGGAGTATCATCCGTAGTCCTGCCGGGCCAGATCCCAGTGTCAATCCTGACGACCAAAGTTAAGATATCGGAGTGTTGCCGCAAGGTGAAAATGAGGGGTAGCAAGTACACTACGGCAATTGGGTCATACAGCATGGCAAACCAAGACGAATGACCATTGGCAATGCCCAGTATAGCGCAGTGGATGTTCTACAACAATGCTAGCGATCATGCTGACTCTATGAAAGCGGCAGTCATTGGACGTTTTCGACTACTAGACGAGTACTTGTCTTCACCTGTTTGATCTGACCTTACGAAAGAGAAAAATGATACCAATACAACATGAATAAAATGAGAAGGAAAAAGAATGCAGTTTCCCCAGTAGCATTCTCAACCTCTTTATATTGAACAGGTACGTCAGAGATCCAAGTCTGGCAGATCATCAACGGAAGGAAGTGGCCAAGTCAGGCTATTAAGGTCTAAGGAGTTGGCCAGCTCCATTAACTGATCCGGCCTGAGCTCGTAATGTTGCTCAAACCTTTCCGCAGATTTCAGCGTCAGTGAGTGACTATGCTCACCCGATTCAACTGAAGGAACCATGGCTACAGGGCTGTCCCCCTCCCTCGATTCTCGAGTGCTTGCGGGGAGAACCGTTGTGATATTTTCTTTCATCGCCAACTGAGCAAGTTCACCAGCTAATTGCTTCAACTCCGACCGGATTAATCTGGCAGAAAGGTTGCCGCGAGCGCTCATCTCATCTAGAATAGTGTACGCACGCTTGGACCAGGGTGAGTGATCTCGCAGTAGAGATGGGTCAATTGCAGCCGCCAGTAAAAGTGAAATCGTTGATGTAGATGCCGCATCCATGTCGAAAGGCAAAAATGTTTCTTACACAGCTCGCAGTCAGTATAAACGATCTTATATATAGCAGGCAGATGGCCTACCCAGGAGTCCTTGTTCTAGTAAGTTGGACAGGATTCTCAAAATCTGTTGGGCGGATTCGACGCATATGTGAAGGAGAGCCTGCACAGTCCCAGCTTGAAGCCAGTCCATTAACGCAGGGTCGGACAGACCCAATTTGGATTGGAGAAATATATACAAAAGGGGTCTTGTCGTGAGAATGATACACTTAAACACATAGGTGAGCATTTCTTTCAAAAGCACTAGGTTAAAAATGTCATACCTGATGCTGGAAAATATATAAATGTGCTGATATTCGTGAAGTACCACTCATGGAACCATTGGTATATAGGCTGAACGAGTTATTCAATTGTTCGGTGACATGGGCAATGTCTCGGAGAACAGACTGAGTCGCGCTCAGATAGCGACTGTCAAGCTTTCCTTCACTGCCATATACAGCTAGCCTTTGTTTAGCAAAGGTTAAAGGGCCAAGGGCAATGAGAACGCACTCAAGTCTACCTTTGCCAGTATTTGACATAGCATAACCTGCATCTCTAGGACATTCGATCCTTGAATATGCGTGGAAATCGAAGGAAATGAAGTACTTATGCTCTCTTCTGAGATTCCCATTGGCACTCCTAGAAGAGACGACATCCGGCGTTCCAAGGCGTAGCAAGTCCACCACACAAGACTGCTTCGCTGCACATAGTCTTGGTTAAGACAGATCCCATGCATCTCAGTATACATGCCATATGATAGAGCTGAGCGAAGAGCACTACCAATCTAAACCAATCAGTATGAAAGTCAATAAAAAAAGTGGAATTTCATCCTTACCATACGATAGGCGGGGCCACGGCTGTGGATGGACTGGAGATATAATGCAGCACAACACATGACCTGTATTTTTTCAATCGGATCTCCATCAAAGAAGCTAAAGTCCGGCATGCATTGCATAGCCTGGAGGAAATATTCTGCACCGGCAGGGGCCTGTGATCTGGTCGATTGTACCACGAACATTTTTCCGAACGCAAGGATCAGAAGATAGTGGCAAAACCATAAAGGTGAAGATCGAGCTTCTTTCGCTGGGTTTTGTTGGAAAATTGCAAACTGCTCCATGAAACGATCCTCGTCAAGTAGATAGAAAAGCTGTCCACAGTGGAATTTGACCGCACTAATAAGATATTTGGCGAATTCCGGTGTCGGAAGATTCGAGACGTCAAAGAGGTCCTGGGGATAGTTTGCTTTGTTTCCGTCCCACTTGAGATCGTAAACATGATCATCAAAAAGCAGATTGTTTGGGTCTGGAAACAGCGATGATCCGGTCAGTTTCTCGTGGGTCATTCCCAACACTCGCCGAGCGAAGGCCCAACTAGATGACGTGCCCATGAAAACTACTAGAATCGTCAGAGAAAACACTAATGCTTTGCTATGCAAGTTGAAAGGTTCACCTGGTCTTCCCATAGGGCCTGGAACCCAGTCTGTGATGTGAAAAGCTAGTGGATTTGTCAGAGGCGCCTTGGCTTCCATTACACCTTGGCTTCTGGACGCTGTTGTGGTGGCCTGTCTGCAATGCAGGTCTTGGTCATCGCGATCGGCTGACGATAGCAATGGCGTTGCATTATCACCTGGAGAAAGCATTAGTGGTTTCGTATCAAGGATCGTCCCGTTGACATGACGCTCACATGACAGGCTGGCAAGCTGCTTAGGGGCCGATTCCGAAGCGGCTGGTTGGTTCACTCTATGCTGCAAAGTAGCTAGTCGCTCGTGGAGGTCATTAATATATCTGTCTCGGTTGGGACCATTAGATTTGAAAACAAATTCCAGCAGATACCTTCACTCACCTTCGTGTTACCAGAACCGTTTCTGACAGGCTCTCGAAATGACAAGCTGAATTTCTTTTGCTACATTGATCGCACGGATGAGAGCCGGTGCATCTGATCTTTTGGTCACGGCATCTTCTGCAACTGCTCGCTCATTCAAGGTGTCATTAGAATGCAGTTTTCGAGGCTAGGGGCGGACGTACGCTCTAGCCACACGCTTGCTGGCCCTCAGCGAGCGTCTTTCTGCAGTATCTCTGGGGGGCATCTTGTCTCAAGGAACGGTCAACTTCGAGAGCCGGAGCTTTGACGTGAGAGACGTTGGCTCTCGTGGGGTAACGCCGATGGAGTGGGGCCGCGACAGTTGGTGAGCACCAAGGCTCGATCGAATGCGGGGGATGGTCGCGAGCAGACCAAGGAGTAAAACACTATAGATTGGGGCAATATGACGATTGCCACCCGTGCTAAGTTGCTAACTTCCTACGATTACCGTCGAGGCAGGTCTCTCCGAGCTAGTATCGGATGCAAAGGCCGTAGCGCCAACCAGTGACATTCGTCCCGCTACTCCCCCACGCCAACGGAGACAGACTAACCGCATTTAGTATGGATTTAGAGTATGAACCTTGTCCCTTTTGAGTCCATATCCGGGGTATCAAACCTCCTGCTCAAGCTTGCCCTAGTAGCCGTACCCCAGACCCCAGATTCCCCTGTAACCCGCTAACTCTTGGGAAGCAATTCGAAATCCTGACCTTATGCCTAGGGTCAGACGATCTCACTGGCTAGAATGGAAAAAGTGCGCTTTTTAATTGACCAGCAGTCACTCTTATCATGGTTGCCATGTACATGTATGGTCAAGTTGGGAAATATGATATGATTATCGTGGAGGTCATCATATTACTCGCGATCCATTCTGTCCAATGATAACTACTCGCTACCCACCGATCCAGTATAGGGTATGTCTTTCCGGTATCTCCGAAGTATACTGAAGCACTGCCAATGTTCCTGAGCCCTATATAAGACCCACCACCGGTGTTGTCAGTATCAAGAAATTGTTCTTATCTCATGCCATAATGCCTATCACAAACCCTTTTCTCCCGATTCACGTATTCTAGGCTATCATATACTACTGCGACATAATTCCCTCCTAAAAGAATATACCATGTCAGAACCAAAAGACCCACAAGGTGGTCTAACGGAAAAGCCGTCGATGGCTCTGGAGGCTCCTCCCATAGCACATGATGCAGTCTTTGGCGAGATCACTGAAGAAGGGCCTAATTACCGCGACGTGAGTACTCTTTAACCAACTTTTACTTCTACTTAAGTATATAACGATACATAGGTTGGATGGCTAGGAACCGTGGCTCTCATGATGAAGACCCAATTTGGCCTTGGTGTTCTATCCATCCCCCAAATCCTTGACTCACTGGGATTGGTCCCAGGTATCATATGCCTGCTTGCAGTTGCAACCATAACCACCTGGTCTAACTACGTTATCGGTACTTTCAAAATGAGGCACCCTGAGGTGTATGCCATTGACGATGCAGGAGAGCTGTTGTTCGGCCGAGTAGGCCGTGAGGTCTTGGGTATTGCGGTTTGCATCTGTGGGTCTTGAAGAAAGCCTGATCTCTAGAGTTGACTCTAATTTATACATGCCAGACTGGATTTTTTGTTCTGGTTCCGGGCTATTGAGCACATCGATAGGGTTGAACGCTGTCTCAGCTCACGGGACATGTACTGCTGTCTTCGTTGCCGTGGCTGCAATCGCTTCATTCAGCCTGGCCAGCATCCGCACTTTGGGGAAAATGAAATGGGCTGCGTGGGCTGGAGTGGCGTCCGTTTTCACGGCTGGTGCGTAGCTCCTTGTCGTGGCCTGCATTCGAATACTGACTCAAGGATCACTAGTTATGATGGCCACGATCGCAGTCGGTATCCAGGAACGGCCTCCGACCGCGCCCAAGGGCCGCGGACCCTGGGTTTCTGACTACAAGCTTGTTGGCAATCCATCGTTCGTCCAGGCAATTACAGCAGTCTCGTCCATCGTCTTTGCGTACGCCGGTACTCCTGGTCAGTCTAAGCTATATTTTCTTTCTCCAGAACAAATTGAGTGACGAGGCCACCATGGGAAACCATTGCTTTCTATCATAGAAAAATGATATGTTCCCTTGTCAAGATTCTATGTGCTAATAATCGTAATTTAGGGTTCTTTCCTATTGCGGCGGAGATGCGCGATCCTTCACAGTACACAAGATCCCTACTTATCTGCCAGACTGCCCTAACTTCGATATACATCGCTATTGGTACCGTAATTTATTACTATTGTGGCTCATACGTTGCATCACCAGCACTTGGATCTGCCGGTACCTTGATCAAGAAGGTCGCATATGGCATTGCACTTCCTGGCCTGGTGGCCAGTACGGTCATCGTTCTTCATGTGAGTGATATGAGTGGTCTAGTCCTGGCTTCTTCTTTATTTCTTCCTTGGTTTCATTCATTCATTTATTGATTCTATTTTCTAACCAAGTATAGTTCTCAAGCAAATACCTCTTCATCCGTATCTTACGAGGATCCGAACATCTAACCGCCAACACATTCAAACATTGGGCAACTTGGTTGAGCTGCACTTTCGCCATTACGGTTTCATCTTACCTTATTGCCAGTGGCATCCCCATATTTTCTGATCTGGTTTCCCTCATCGGTGCCCTGCTGGGAACCTTCATGTCCTTCCAGCCTATGGGCTGCATGTGGTTATACGATAATTGGAAAAATGGCAGAGAGCGACCAACCCTCAAATGGATCCTCCTTTCGTCTTGGAGCATCCTAGTCATTGTCTCTGGATCTTTCTTGATGGTTGCTGGAACCTATGGATCCGTCGTCAATATTATTGCTTCTAGCAAGGCTACTCCGGGTTCTTCTGCATGGTCGTGTGTCGATAACTCGAACTCGTGAGCTTTGATGTTGAGTATTAGGATTTTATGTACTTACAATATTGTACCCCTTTATTTTTTAAGTCATATAAGAGGTTTTCCAAACAATGCTTCAACCTAAAGACTCAAGCTGTAACTCTGTTGATTGTTAGTAGCAAAGGTGTAGATTATCCAAGTCATTTTTAAAATTCCCTGCCTTTTCTCTATACCTCGGTTATATATATAGTAACTAAAGGGAAGCAGTTGCTGAGTCTGTAGCATCCACCCCAGCACTGGATAGGTCACTATATGGGATATGCCGAAGCCTAACCTCACAAGAAAAATTCAGTCTCATCCTGAGATGGCCAGAAGAAGAAGACGTACGAAAGATATTTTCACTCATTTTCAATCATCGCAATACAAAAAGCTGTACTTAGGCCTTAAGTACACTGTATTCTAGCACATACGACCATAGGGTGTGGAGAACAGGGCTTCCCGTCCGCTCAGCCGTACTTAAGCCACACGCCGGGAGGTTAGTAGTTGGGTGGGTGACCACCAGCGAATCCCTCCTGTTGTATGTTTTTCGTTTTATTATTTTTCAGTACTGTAGCAGTGCCTTCGTTTTTATCTCCTTCACCCTGCTAATATGTCTGCACTCTCCAAGTTTGTGGTGTACAAATGTAGCTTAGATTTGCAGTCCCACATTGCACCGTTGCTGATCGTTACCCTCCCAAGATAATAGTGCCGTTATTACATAGAACAGACTCGAACAATCTGGTCTAGTTATTCTTGCCACCTTCCAGGGATGATGTGCTAGACAAGCTGAACACGTGTAATTTTGTACATTTTATGTGTCGTGGTGAAGCCAACCCAAGATATCTTCGCGAAAGTTGTGTATTGTTCAGAGAGGATTCAACTGGTCAGCGACAGCGTTTAACGGTTCATGATTTGGAAGATGTTTCTCTTAGAAATATGTACTTGACATATATGTCTGCGTGCTCGACAGCAGAGAACTCGCCCCATCAGCTCCTAGACGAGGCCCTACATATTGCGATCGCTTTTCATTTAGCTGGATTCCCGCATGTGATCACAGCCTTATGGAGACCAGCCATTAGAACTGCTTGTCATGGAGATATTCTATAGATAATTGGCACAAGTATTGCGCTCTTCTGGATACTAGGAGACAACGATGCCATTGCCTACGCACTCCATGAACCACTGAAAGCAATCCCGGCTGGCGATGTTGGGAGCATTCGACGACCAAGGAATACTAGTCATAATGTGGCAGGCTGGGCCCCTTTTATCCATTTCGGCTGTTAAATACTTCTAAGTCCCTCTGGATATTAAAATCTATCTTAATCAATGGAGATAGGACAGGTATCGGATACGTTGCCGCTTGGAACTGCAATGAGGCTCGAGATCGATGAACTGATCCCAAACGGAGATAACCTATTCTGGCATATACCAATATGCATTCGAGAGGTGCTCACCGCAGAATTGCAATTTATTGGCCGTCCAAAACTCAGCAGTCTGGTAAAATTATTAGCCTCAACACCGAGCGAGGACGAGAGACACTAACCGGTTGTAACCTTTCCTTTTGTTGCACACTCAAAGAGCCACTTTTAATAGCTATCTCATTAGGAGCGCTAAGAGCTTCGTCAAATAGAGGTCTGCCACATTGGAGGCAGAATTGACGGTGAACGGGCAATCCAGAGCTGCCTTTATTGGTAAATGTTTGAATCTGGCCGTTGATAATCACCTTGTTTTTTGGGACAATTATAAAAGACGCTACGAACAATTAACTGAGATTGATATGACCAACCACTTTGCAGCCCAAGAAACAATATTTACTCACAGTAGGTCGAACCACTTTGACGTTGGCAGTCATCACAATGACAGTAAGCCACAAGGTCTGGCTCGCTCACATTGGCGACATAGGTGACCGCTCCGCAAAGGCAATGTCCAGTGAAAGGCATGAGGTTTGGTCAGAAAGAAAAGTATAGAAAGAATTTGATTTTATAATTACTTGTTTAATGGGAGACGAAGTGTGATATGTGTGAGTTTTTGAGCTCGCCATAAGATGGCTTAAGTATTGTTCGAGGATGAGTGGGGCTGCCTAGTCAATGCCAATTATTTAAGGTTGCCCTAGTCTCAATCTGGCAGCCAAGACGTACGGCCTGGTCCTCATTATACTATCTCCACGTGATAGTTTCATCTACAATATACAGATGGATATCTTGATTCCATCGACTCGCAAGGTCTAAGAGGGAACGAGATAGTGTATTCAACGTGGGAGATCGAGCTTGACTTTGAAAATCCAATGATAGTTTATACAGAGATGTAAAACTGCTATGCGTCTGTGAAGATTCTTATAATTATACATTATTGTAGAGTTTCGAAGCTCGATTTTGGCTATCTATATTTACCCGCTTGTGGATTGAAATGATTTTTTACGATTTTATGATGGTTATCAATGGACTTTGATATCAATTGAGATTTATAGCAGATAGTTATTAGTATTGAAATAGGTAAACCAAGTCTATCCTCAAAGTTTCACTCGCTTCTCATATATTTGTCTCGAAAAATAAGTGTTTAAGGAACTTGATTGGCTTATGGCCAATTCCTTGCTCCTCTTTGGAGTGTCTTTACTGTACGGTGTGGCAGACGCTAGTGCTTTTTTTTATAGGCTATTATAGAATACCAGGTGTGCAGTGAATCCTGAGCTTCGATAGAAGTCTTTGTTCTGGATAACTATGTTGATACAGGAAACCTTAGGTAAGTATATTCATATTTAGTGACTCGAGAAATTGGTCTGGCTTGTTCTGAAGCCTAATACTCCGTAGATCAGGTACTAAATATACGGAGGTTGAAATAATTGCGAGGGTCGACCTGGGTAATAAAGCACCATCGGCAATTAGCTAGTATCAAGATGTTTCACGACGATCGAGGCGGAAGCTGCGGTCTGGTCACCCAGGATTGGAATAAATTTTGACTGGCTCTCTGGACACCTTCGTCTATTGAGTGCATTTTCTATCATTTTATGGATGATGCTGTAATGTTGAACATGAGTCTTGATTCAATAAGAAATAAGGTCTTGCTCTACCCCGGACTGAGCGACCAGCTATACACAACAGAATCCGACTTGCCCGATCGTACACGGTGGAAGTGACTAGCTGGTGTGTGGGTAAGATAATTGCCCACTACCTCGTAATGTTGGGTTTTCTCGAAACTGATTGCCAAACCAGATCCCCTGACACGTAAACCGGCTGGATGGGCTGTCCCTTGTCTCCTCTTCGATTATACCTATGTGCTGCACGATTCGTGGTCGAAAATGTGATTCGACACTGACACAGTGATGTGTCAAGTAAATGGACGATTATTGATGTTCTTGGCCAAATGTATTATCGTATCGCAGGCATACTTAGCACTTCTGGGATTCCCAGACTCTCCCCTTGCAGAAAATAATAGCTTTGTGTAGCACTGGCATTCAGTACAGTGAGGTCATATGCATATCTCAGGACGTGCATATCAATAATACATGCACTATTGAATGAAGATCATGAGCTCTTCGATCAGAATGTTCACCTTATGTAAACAGAGAGAACTTATACACTAGAAAATCTCATGTCAAAATCACTCAATTTCTTGAACGATTCCAACGCACAACTTACCTTCGACCATCAAATCCATCTCGCCCTAATACGAGGACCTTCCATGCTCTCGGTGCCCTGGCAGCTCTTTGTTAATCCGCCTTCGGTCTTACTGACGGAACTTATACGATTGAATCTGCTAGCCTGCAGGACAAAAAGGTTCTGACCGACAAAGGCCAGGTCAACTACCCTCTCATCTTCTAACCCCCTATTGGTAACCCTGGCCAGACTTGGCGCTTCACGACCGTCGGTACCCACTGCGACTTTATGATTAAAAGCAGCACTGGTGGCTACATCAATTGTGGCTACACCGAGGGCTCTACCTGCGTGACCGGAGACTGAGTGGAGATTTACACCGCCGAGCTTATTGATGACAACACCTATCAACTCGTTGCAAAGAGCAGTGGATATTTCTTGCGCATCGATGACAAGGGCCTGCAACTTGCTGGATATGACACGACACCCGAGGAGCAGTTTATCTTGACCCCGGTCCAATAGAAAGTTATTATATCTTATTGCTTCAGGAAGACAGGCTAATATGATTCTATTAGCTAAAAACTAGGAGCAACCACATACATCTAGGAATGGACTTTTCATGCATATTGTCAGTAAGAGCTTATCGATCTGATACCCTGTAGTATAGTTGTCAGAATCCTGGCGCTGATCGTCCCGATGAACGAATAAATCTATGATTTCCTTTCCTTGAGCTCTATCCGATAAAAGTTCTTGCCCTCCCTGCAGTAGCTGCGCCGGACACAAGCTGATTAAAAGGGAAGCGAGCGTACATTTATCGTGTGCAAATTTAACTTGACTTCTTGACATATTTTATTATTCTAGCGCGCAATATTCTAGTCTTTAACTTTGACCAGCTTTTGAACACTTTCAACTCAACAGATCTTTATTCTACCGCTATCAAATCAGAGACACGGTACAAGAATCTCTTAAAGACTCTATACCTTCTCAGGACTATTTATTATTCTAAAATTCAAAGCTAGTCTTCAACTAAACTTAAATTACGGAATACCTCTTATACTTTTGATAGCACTTATTTTAAAACTTTGATTGTAATCAAGGATTGGTTGAGTGAAAGTTATAAACCTTTACAAATTGGCTGTTTTTTTTTTTTTTTTGAAGTTGTCCAAGGTATCTACTATTTAGGTAGAGTGTAATGGAGGATCTACTATACAGGGTAGATGGCCTGTCAACTAGGTAAGGAAACGTAGGCGGAGAGAAGAAGAGATATCTATCATTAACTGCGTAGTAGAACGAATACAAAGAGATTGATTCTTGTCTCCTCTATCTATGTCTTTAGACCTCCTTAAATAGCTTTAGGATCCTTCTCTATTCAGCAAGTCTTTCCCGCTGAAGAGTCGGTGAAATGTCAAGTAATCTCTCCGACCGATTCTAAACCGTAGGGGATCCGAGGTCTTATGTAGGAAGGACCGGGACCAGGGCCTATGCACGATGAACCAGGATATAGGGGCCCGAGGGTTCTGCAGGCTTCACGGGCCGATTCCTCATCGGCTCCGTGACAGAGGGCTTATTAATAAA